TTTTTTACCCTCTTCTCTTTGGGAAAGTCAAATTCTGCTTTGTACTGTGTAGAAGGCCAATTGTGGCATCTAATCCACAGAGTCACGCAATAAACGAGCTGAACCTGTCGATCTTAAACCAGGCCCTATCATGTGGAAGTTCTATGTTTAATGTGCAGAATGTCTCCTTTGATCTACCTGAACGGATCTTACGCTAGACTCTTTCTCGTCTCCAGAAGTTTGAATGGGTTGTTAGTACTCGCCTTGGTGCGAGGTCTTCTTGCCGTCGAGCCAAATATATATATAGACAGTTATATGCTTATGCGTCACTAAGGGCACATAAATTGGTAAGTTTCAATTACACCTACAGGAACGAGAGCTAAATGAAACTATACGATAATTTGGCTCTTGCCATGCTACTTTAAGTTTAATTCATTCAACTAGGTTGACATACTATTGAGTGCTTTAACTAAGTGCCAATTGTCAATGTGTCAACTCCGCGGGAACTCGGCACCGTTGGGTGGAAGATCAATCGTCCAGATAAATGTTATCGATAAGCGCACGGAGGTGGTTAACTACGGAAAGGGTTTATTCTACTCTGTGCGTTCAAGTAGAATATCTCAATTCTAAATTAAAGAGAAAACACAAAACTTTCCTCAAATGGAATTTCGCCGGTTGGTTGGTGACGTTGAGATCGGGCCGAGACCCGGCACAGACTCCCGATCATGCAACATCGGCATTCTAGAAGATCTATGGCGTATTAGTTTGTCAACCTTGCCGAGGTCCGCGGCGCGCACACTAAGATCAGTATTGATTTGTTATGAGTTTGGGACATGTCGCTTTTATTATCCCAACTACTCCGTACCACTCCCATCTTTTAGGCACCTTTAGTTGTAAACTGCTGGGCACTGCTTCAGCCCTAAGGAGCTATCGCACGTCGATAGTGATAACGTAGTTTAACTAACTAATCATGTCAAAAATGCTGACTAAAATAATCTTTACCCGGAAGCACTCCGTCTTATCCGAATGTCGTCCTAACCTTCACGATACCTCCCTTGGTTTGCTTATCTGTTTCATTCTCCTAGCGGGCAGGCTGCTGGCTTCGCGCGAACAGGACTATGGCCCAGCGAGTATCCTGCCCCCAATGCAATAAGACATTTTCCAAAAGAGAACATCTAAATCGACACCGCCTGTCCCGTAAGCTCTTGTTTGTCCCCGGGTGGATTGCAAGTATTTAAACCGTCGAAGACAGGGGCTAAATATGGGATGAATTGTTCCAAGTCTAGATACGGGAGAGCGGCCCTTCCAATGTCAGATCTGCTCGAAGCCTTTTTCTAGGAGGTGACGTCACCCTACGATGTGGGCAAATGGTCTAATGGATGGCTAACGGTTGTGGGTAGAGATGTTCTCCTTCGTCATCAACGAGGCCATTTTGAGTTGGCGTCATCGCCGTCGAATGCAAATGTTGCTCGCGTAAATCGGAAGAGAGCATTGCGTGACGAATTGGCCGAGGTGTCTGTGAGCGAGGAAGTCCCCAATTATGTTGCGGCTCAAGTATGGCAACCAGGGTTATTTGTTTGTTTATTGCCGGTATAATGTGGATAGAACTGACATGATGACGTAGCAGACGGAGGGGAATATTGTTCGTGCTAGGTCACGATCAAGTACATCGGCCTTGTCGCCATCAGACCATGCCTACGAGCCTGACACAGGACTGGCGAATGATCTACCCGTGAGACCACAGACAATGGCCTGGAATGGAGGTCCCACAAAGATGGTCCCTTCGCTAGCTGCACCTAGTCTGTCTCCATCGCATGTGCACGATGATGGAAGGGGCTACGGCTCGTACCCGACAGGCGACCAGGCTTTGCTCCCGGTCACTGACCAGGTTCACTTGTCTAATGGAGTGGTAGCAGAATTCAACCGCAGCCCACTCATGTTTGGTGACATGGACTCTGGGACTGCCTTCCTTGATATGTTGTTGGGCCTCCCAGGTAGCCAAACGACAGGAACGACAACTGCAAACACTGAACAATTAGATATACCCTGGGCTGTAAGCGGAACTTCAGATCGGTTAACTATTAGTCCTCCAGTTGAAGCCGAACCAAAGCACTATCCAGCTTATATCCGCCAGAACGTAAAAAAGGTCCAAAGCTTTTGGTCGACACCACAGCGCCTTACCTCCGAGACACAGATATGGTACGAAATTATATCAGGGTCATCGGAGAATATCTTTTCTGGGCAAGACCATGAGACATACACAGGGTCTTCACAACAGAACCAGCATGCCGGAGCTGCCGAGATCTGCTTGAACCATGAAATTAGGGCGCAGCTTCAAGATTTGAAACGAAGGCTGCTCAAGAGGCAATGCCACTGTTCTAGCAGTGATAGCCGAATGACTGACGCATGTGATGAACATTACTTTTGTGAAAACTTTAATGGCATCTTTGAACAAGGCCTTTATCTCTATTTAGATAAATATCAGCCGTCCTATCCTATATTGCATATACCTACGTTCAAGCCGCAGGCTGTCCACACACTTCTGCTGTTTACGATGTGCATGATTGGCCTATCGTTTGTTAAGACAGAGGAGGCAGTGCGGTTTATCTATCACATATACCCGGTATGTGTTGATGCCGCCTTTGCATTCCCAACATCCGACTAATCTAAGCCACTGTGCCCTAGGCTCTCCTGGATGAAGTTTATAGACGCATTATCTCTATTACCCCCAGTACCTCCAACCCATCGGGGTTGCTCAGTCACCTTACATTAGCACATCACATGTTATTCCTGCTTGTTGTGACAGAGGTTTGATAGACGATCCCACAATGCCTGGTGTATTTCCGCGTCTAATGACTCCTCACAGGGGAACATCTGTCCAACGAAGTCGCAGATGTTATACGGGTACACTCTAACGGTAGGACTTTCCCCATCTTCAGTTCGTTTGAGTACTACAGCTGATAACATTACAGGCTGCACAAAATCTTGGCCTCTTTCATTTACCTGTTGGACAAATATCAGACAGTCTTTTCTCGACCACCACCGACGAACATATACGATGGAAACTGTGGAGTCGAATAGAATCAATAAAGAAGTACGGTCTTCTACATACCTATACGGAGCGTGTCTAAAGATAATTCTAGTCTAATCATCGGCTTGATCCTCTACGACTCTTCGCTCTCCGGAGTCTTCTCAATAAGCCCCGTCATTTCAACAAGCACACTCCACGTCGCCCTTCCCTGTGGCTTCGACCTCTACCGTGCTCAATCACCTCAAGAGTGGATGCGCCTAATCCAAGAAGGCTCCAGACTCACTACCCCAACAGTCAAGCTATCACACAACGAATTCTACCTCCCAACCCTCCCCCACCAAGTCCACATGTCGTGCCTGTACGGAATCACGTCTGCCATTCTCGTCCGCCTGATCGCAAACTACCATCGACTCATTATCGGCTCCGACCTGGGCCAAGAGGACTGGCACCAGCATATCCCATGGCGGATCTACAACCTCGACAAACGCGCCACTTCAATCACCAACGTGGTCATACACTTCATCCAGCTATACGATACCATCCTCGCGAGCTCCAACCCAAACTGCATCGTCATCTGGCATAATCTATGTCTCCTCCTAACAGCCGACATCCGTCTCCACGAACGAGCAGCCGGCCGCGAGGGTCCCGAAGCCATGCAAACCGCCCGCCAAGCCATCACCCTCTGGGCCAGCACCCCGGCCGCCCGACGAGCCTGTCTCCACGCCGCCCAGATCTTCCATGCCCTGTCCAACTGGAAACCGATGGACGGCATGGGATTCCAGCCCGCGCGTTGTCTCTTGAACTCCGCGCTCGTGCTTGCCCTGTACACGCTGGTCAGCCCGACAGCTCCGGATACACGACCCACCGAGGCGTTCGATCTCGCCACGGCAGAGATTGACTGGAAGGTCGTAGGTGACGAGGGAATGAGCGATGGGGAAGGTGAACGGCCGAGGACGGAGGATCCAGCGGTGAACTTTATTCGCTTCGGGGGGCCTGTTGTGCTCTGCGGGAAGACGTATTTCGGGGGCGCTCGCCATGCGCGTCGGCTTTTGTTGGATTTTGCCAGTCTGTTGGATGAGGTCGGCAGGCATTGGATGGCGAAGTATCCGCGCCTTTTGTATATGATTCATGATACTATGGTGGATGTATATACGGGTGGGAATATGGGGGAGGTGACTGCGTGATCGTGTCCTGGTTGGGGATGTCTCAGTGGGGGGAAATATATCAAAGCAAATTAAATTAAAATAATTTACAAAATAAGATGCGGGTTCACTCATCGTAGCTACAACACTGCAAGATAATATAGTATTTGATTCTTGTAAGATTTAGTATCATATCACGCTCGGTAGACGGCCATCTTAAGCCGCGGGTAGTAGAACTGCCCTGTGGAGTCCTTAGAGTTAATCGGATCTGTGTATGTTAGATCTAGAGGAGAAGGTTCAGCGCTGTAACCTGTGTGTGCTACACTCAGGCTCTAATACAACTCTGGACGAGGCAAGGTAATAGTCTCGAAGTTTGCATTTTGAGTTACCGCGGCAGACCTCCTCTCCTCGATAAGTCTCAATCTGAATCCCTTCGCCTCCTCCATAGTCATGTACGCAGAATCCAAATATGCGTAAACCATATCCTTAAGCTCTTGTGGTAGGGATCGGAGAGCCTGCTGAATGGTCATTTCCCTCTCCATGGCCCAATCCTCTCGTTGTGGTGGCACGTTCGAAGACGAGATAATCCGCAGGTGAGGATCAACCAAAAGTAACGCCAGGATTTTGCGATGACCAGGTCTGGAGCGGTCTTCCAATGAGAAAGGGGATTCACGATGCTGCAAAATGTTTGCGAATGTAAGAAGACGCCCTTTCTTTGTGACCACGCTACCAAGCTCTTGAGTGACATTCATTGATTCGCTCCCGTAATTGCCTACCGGATAGCCGTAGATCTGTTGTAATATCTGATAGGTTTCTTCCTTGTAGTCCCATATAGCGAAATCTGTAAATGCACGTTGACGGAAAGCAAGAGTGCTCTCGGTGATATTATCGCTGTCATAATAGTAGATCGCCGATGCGCAGATGTGCTCATTCTGCATATACTCGGATAGTTAAGTGATCTGAGAGAAACCGAATAGAAACAAAGAATAACAGGAACTACAAGAAAAAGAAAGAAAAAAAAGTAAGGCAAGGATGGAGACGAAGACGAAAGCCCGATACTTACTAGTTGCCCTTGCACATACCATGACCCTCCGTGGTATTCAGGTTTCTCAGGCGTCAACTCGATGTTGGCAAGCTTCACTATTATCTGCAGGCCAGTCTTTTGGAACTTATGTAGGTTAACAACTTCAGAACTCCCAAACCAGGGTGGGAAAAAATTCCCTAGCTGGGGAACTTTAAGAACTGTAACTGGCCGTGACGGGTCGTCCTCTGACGAGTCGTAATCAGAGTCAGAGTACCCATATTCCACTGCCCTAGGACATCCAATCCGCCAATAGCCGCGTTTCGTGCAACTTAATGTTTTATTCCAGAGCGGGATAGCCTGTGCGATGATCTTTTCAATGACACGATAAAGGCGCGCATTCTGCCGAGGGTGAAGATTGTTGATATAAGATACTATGGCGCATAAACCATTGTCGAGATCCACGTCGCAAGGCAGCCACTGAAACTCCCAGCTATACTGTTTGCGATTGCTAAACCAAGGATGTTCGTGAGCATCAGAAAGAACCGTTCCGTGCCCGATGCTGTCAAGGAACCTTTCAAGCTTAATCAAATAATCAGAGATAGCTCTTGTTCGGTCAAAGACGACCGGGAAAAGAAATGGATCTACAAGGTCCGCAATCTTGTCATCGGAGCCTGGATGATAATCCTTTTCTGTAAGACTATCTTCGAGTATTCGCACACCCTCCTTCAATGCGTTTTGTAGTTCCCCCGAGATTGCAGTATCAGACTTGACGACTCCAGAGTCGAACACAACAACATGGCCAGTGGCGGAATACGTTCCCGCTTTCCACTTCACCTCATCCATGATCCAATTCATCATGTTAGGGGTAATGTCCTTATCACTGGCAGCGATCTCTCTGCGCCATTTGGCGGTAGTTGCCTCGTCGAATACCTGAAAGACAATTGTCAGTCCTCCCGTAGCTAAATTACGAGTAGCAGCCATGAATTTGTGCTCCCCCACCTCCAGGTCCCAGTCCGGCTTATCAGTAATGGAGTTTATGACTCTCATGATAAGGATTTCTCGATATGTACACAGTTTCCTGTCACAGTAGTTAGCAACATAAAGTGTTTTTTGAAAATATCCTTACCTAACATATTCATCACCTATGTCTGTTGATTGCAAAACATGCGGGAAACGGTCTGTTGCTCTATAGGAGTAATCATAGAAATCTAATGGTAGCGGAAAGCCAGGGAGCTCTGCTTTAGCCATTTCTGTGTCTCAATGCAGCCGTATCAAACTATGAAGGATCACTGTGGTGGAATCGTCATTAAGGCTGGGTTAAAGATTTCTTATATCTGTGCGACATGGCAGGAAGCAGGTTAGAGCCTTGAGAACGACTCTGCGAGAGACTAGCAAGCGTAGTGCATGAGACTCTATGGAGGTTGTGTTGCAAACTAGTTGAACACACACTAGTAACACTTTGTCTGTGGCCAGCGTTACTAGTGCGACCTTGATTACTTTTGCAACACAACCTCCATAAAGTACTCGCCATTCACCTGTTAAATTGGTCAGGCTAACCACGTACTCGTGGCGTAAGCGTCTGAAAATCACGAGTGTTATATGTTCTTTAAAAAGTGCCTGCTACTGCATGTCCAGCTGCAGGTACATGTTCAAGCCTTCATGGCTTTCCATGCAGGTCCTGCTGGTACAATATTAGCCTAGAGATACAAGTATTACTGAAGCCAGCTTGGGCTAATACCATATACTCCCTACATATTCTCAGGATAGTATTAAGTATTAGAGGCTCACCGCCGGGACATGATCTATTAATATTTTGCAGTTTCTTACCTTGTTGCCAGATTAACAACTCTTTTATAAATTATCCAACCTTGATGAATATCACTCGCTGTTCTACCCTGACTAGCCTGCCCCAAGTTACCCCCAACATGAACCCTTGCCTTCGTATTTGTGCCATATGCGACAGAGTATGGATCATAGGCTCAGTTCTGTTAGCGTCTGGCCATTGGTTAGTCGTGCTTTAAAATCACCATATACACTCTCAACCGGTGGTGAAGAGCCACGAGAACGGGATTGTATACATACTCCAGCTCGCATCCTTGTCGATGATTGGTTCAAATAAAAGCCCCGTACTCGAATGCTCCAGAGAAGAACAAGAATTACCAGCGCTCTCGCTTATCAGAACAGATAACCGTAATAGTGGAGTCGATCCACCTTCCTAATGAGGTGCGCGGGCGCGACGATATCGGGGATCCCAGTCTCGAGCAATTTAAACCAGGACAAGCAAGCGAAGATAAAAGGACAATAAATTCCCTGTCTTTCCTTTCACCTCTCACAACAACCGGAAGAAATTGTAAAATGGTATCTCCATGCTACCGTCGATCTCTCACTCGTAGAACCCCAGCAACTAACATGACTCACCAGGATAAAACAGAGCTCCTCTATTTAAACGACGCTTCCCTACAGAAATGGACAACTACAGTCCTCTCCTGTCAGCCGATATCGCAATTAACAGAAAATGAAAAGAGTCTCGCAAAGACACTTGCCCCGGAAAGCTTCGCTCTCACCACCCGTGAAACGGTATTCTACCCACAAGGCGGAGGCCAACCCAGCGATACAGGCGTGATTGCCCTCGCAGACGCAAGTGACGGCTCCGCCTTCAAGGTTCTTCTTGTTCGGAAAACCATGGATGGGACTGTTCTCCACCTGGGGGAGTTCACCGATCAGCCCTGTTTTACGGACGGCCAGTTAGTTTCGCAGGTTATCGACTGGGCAAAACGCGACTATCACTCCCGGCTCCATACGGCGGGCCATATCATCGGTTTGGCTATGCGACTGCTGGCTCCTGTGCTTGGGGAGAGGAAGAAGGTTAAGGCGAACCATGCACCGGGGCAGGCCTGTATGGAGTTTGAGGGCATACTTTATACTGAGCATAAGGCAGTCATTGAGGAGAAGGTGAACGAATTGGTAGGTATGAAACTTCCTGTTACTACTGAGTGGTGGGATGAAGACCGCATAAAAAATGCCGACTTGAATATGGTGGAAGGGTTGCAATTGGGGAACAATGGACAGGCGAGGATCGCCCTGATTGGAAATATTGACGCCAATCCATGTGGTGGAACGCATGTAGAGCATACTGGTTTGACAGGGTTCATTACCATTCGAAAGATTGCCAGGCAAAAGGGGGTCAGCAAGCTGTCTTATGAAGTGCCTGTCTCAATGTGAGATATGGAATCTCCAGCCTAATAATACCAAGTTTACAGCATGACTTTTATCCTTTATATAAGTAACAGGGTAAAGAGTATTCTCACTTCCGCTGTTTGGGGGGGTATAAGTTTGTAGAATGAGGGACAGAGGTCTGGATCCGAGGCGACGATAGCCTTTCTATATCTATCACCCCGAAAACTAACTATCCACGTAGATGGTTAGTTGACAAGTTAGTTGTGACTTGGAGTCCAGCCAGTGTACGGTAAACATACAATGTCTAGTAAGCTAGCTATATGCACTGTACTAATTATATTTCGGTCTCTGGTCTCATACTATGTCCTGGAAGCTCTAACCCAAAAGTGCTATTTTACTACTACAAACCTACCAGATATGGCTGAACTTGGGCAGAATGCCCTTCCTGCCCCGGCTGTTCTCGAACAAGAGTACAAATTTGTTGAAGAGAGAAAAGAATATTTAGGAAGAAAACACGCGTGAGAGTCACGGTATGGTGGCGTCCATTCGTCTGTACTTTCCCAGTAGGAGAAAAAGAAATTTAATATATCTACCAATTGAAATAATTACACGCCAGCCACCACAAATCTCCATGTCATCACAAGTACCGTGGTACCCCGCGAGTTGAGGCGGGCCTCAGTGGCCACTGGCCAACTTGATTTCCTATGTCAATTCTCATTGAACACCGAAAACCTGACAATCTCATATGGGTATGATAGTCAATACTGAATAGTACACAGTATAAAGTTTTATGGAATAGAATATTTAGACTAGCCCACGTGATCACTAGGGATCTAAGAAGCTTCGTCCTTTTTGAAAATACTAATTTCTATCTCCTAACCAAAGGTGGTGAGAGCTTTTGCCATTGAACTAGAAGAACAACTTCACTAGGTGAGAAACCTCACGAGTTGGAATGAGTCGCTTATGTCTCAGCTAGTCTTGTCTCACAGTACTGCCAAGAGCTCCCTTGCATATGAAAGCCTCAGGGTCTGGATGTCAGATCTTACGCCCTCGAGTTCCACACCTAGAATCCTTTTCAAGGCAACAACTTTTACTGATCGTCAGCCGCTGAATAAGACCACTGCCCCCCGAGCCCCACGTACAGCCTTGTGTTCTTGAAGATCACCAGCTCCCACTAAGTCAGAAATTAGCGCGTCTGTGTCAGATCAGACAAATCTCACCTAATTTCTTAAATCCTAGCTGAGAGCTAATATTTTGTGTTCTTGTATGGCGTTGGGTAGTAATATGCTGGGTCAATTTTCGGCCAATTTAGTTTCTATTTACTTTAAAGTTTATATGTTGTCAATACTATGCTAGAAGAATAAACTCTTAGGTTGACAGGTACTAGTGACCTTTAATTACCAGTGTAAGATAAATTACTACCTCCTTCATGCAGCTTACCCTAAATAAAAGGAAGCGCTAGCATTCTGGGCTGAGACAATGTGACCTGCGCTGCATCCGGGACGAATTATGTAACATCCTAATTGGAACACTGTGCTTGGCGATCTACACATCTGCATGCTCAGCTCGTCAGCTCAAGGACTTCCCCGCGCATGTCGAGGTAACATTGACGAACATAAGCCCTACCGGTCGGTAGATCATTCGCTGGTAGTCCTAGGGCACCCGAGGATCGTTTCCTGGTGCAGTGATATTGGGGCTGTTTACACGCGTTCACCTCTGTCGTTGCTTTTTCCAGGTGACCCTCCGTAGTCATTCAGTGGGGAATGCAACGCATCTCAATTAAGGCTGGCGTACCCCACAATCAGCAGATACGCAGCCTTCTGGCCCTGGTCGGCATGGGTTGGTACTTTCTCTACCATCCTGCAGATGGGGGCCGCAAGCCCAATGAGGATATTGGCCTCCTGACAACATGTCTGAGAGGCAGAGGGAGTTTTGCTTGCCTTGGCATTGAGGCAGTCTGTGACTATGGTCTGTAAGCCTTGGCTACGATGCATACTCCATGGGGATGTTCCAGGGTCAGGACCGTACCTATAAAGGAGGGATTGCGCTCCCTCAAACAGGAGACAACTCTGCTCAGAACAAGCACATTCTCTTCTTTATCCAGAGCCTACATCAGCATTACGCTTAAAAGCCCATCTCAGTCATATCCTCAATTGTCGTGATACAATATGAAGATCTCCTCTGCTTTTTTCTATACCTTCCTCGCCATCACTACCCTGGGTGTGGCGAGCCCTACAGGCAACAACGCCGTTGCCGCCGAAGATGTCACGCCAGTGCAGGCTAGAGCGGAGTCTCTTTTCGACAAGCGTAAGAGCTGCAGCGGTGAGAGGAAAGACTCAGACACGTGCGGCGGGAAGAAGCTCGCAACACAAAACTCCTTCCATAACTGGTACTTTACCCCTGTTGTCTTAGAAGGGACTTGGGACACTTTGCTAATATAACCTGATAGCAAAACGATAACCAAGGGCAAGTGCTGCGCTAAGAACTCCGACGGATCCGGAGGAATCGACGTGAACAAGGGAGGTGGTGAGAACTGTGGATATTGCTTCAGTGGCAAATGCTCTGGCTGATCGGCCTCGGCATGAGAATGTCTCGCGTGGCATCAGAAGGTGGACATTCAGGGATTTGTTATACAGGATACCGGCGAAACTGTCTCTAGTTGGCGGGAAATAGCATAATTCCAGTATCACCAAGTTTAAGTTTCAACATGTGTGCCCACAGTAGAATATTCCATTTGAAACAGTGTAAGTATGGCTATTCCTTTCTTACCCACGCCTTGTATGTACTATGAGTTGTATTTGTTCCCAGTCTGGGCTTTGAATGCTGCCACCACCTGGTTGGAAAACTCATCATGATCCTGTAGATAAAATTCTTCCAGGTTTGGCGCATGCTCCACGATTAGCTGTGCGACCACCTGGGCATGTGTAGTCATTGAGGATGACCTTGAATTCATAGGAGCTGTCAGAATGTGAACCACTCTATAGAAGTCATGGGGAGCAGGCTTACTCTGATACTCGCTCAGCAGGCACTGCAGCTCCGAGTTCAAGCTGCCTTAAGTGTGGAAAGAGCGGTCGTTCGATGGTTGACCAGCCACGCAAGTCATACGAGCCAAATATCTCACAAGATTCAAGTTCACGACAATGCGTTCCTAGCGAAGTGATCGCTACTATTGACAATTTGCACTGGACCTGGAATACCAAGTCCTGAAGGCCACGCATATCCTCGAAAACCTGGATGAACTCTTGGTCTGTGAGTGCGGGGAACGCTGGGGGGTCCTCGAATGAAGATATACACAGTCTGCGTAAATTCTTCAATTCCTTGAGTGCAAGTAGGTCTGTGGCCGGCCAAATTCCGTCCTGGCAAAATGCAATCTCAAGTTCGGTCAGCTTGGTGAGTGACCTAACCAGTGGCAAAGGGCTCAGTTCGTTATCGTCAACGGTAAGTACAAGATTAGTAGCAGATTTGATGGCTGCAGTGAGGGGTTCGACTGCTTTCGATTTCAATTGAACTGTGAGGCGCCGGATAGACTTAAAAGGAGCCTCTACCCCATCCATGGCCCTCTCAATCATCTCATAAGTGATGGTCTTTCCCAGTTCCAAGTCCTCCAGACCATTATGACGGGCAAGATAGGCAAGCATCTGGTCGTCGACGAAGGCGTCCATAAAAGATGGAAGACGAATTGATCTTAGAGATCTGCAACCGTCAAAGAATTTTATTAGGCGGTCGGTGTTTATTCCCTCGAATGCATAATCGATCAAAACGCTCTGTAATCGTGGACAACGGGTTTCCAGTAGGTTGAGTAAGTCTTCAGCCGGCTCAGACCCGTAAAACCTGAATTCCTCCAAGCTCGGTTGTATGTATTGACCAAGCCATAATTTTTCTCCGTTTTCTGGAACATACAAGTCGATTGTCAGGCGCTTTAGCTTGGGAACTCTAGGGTACGGAAACATGTATGTTGTTTTCCATCCTCTTGACCCCCAAAATTCAGCTCACGAACCTGACGCGCGTAGAATTGGCGGTGGTGAGCTAGGCTCGCGGCCAAAGCTGCCACCGGCGGCTTTTGCCAAAGGACACTGATGGCTTCCGCAGCCCAGGACTTGTTCACCAAGGCTGCCGATCGCAGAGAAGTGAGATCATCACAGAGATACTCCATAACTCGGCGTAGTAACTCCGGTAGAAGCGGCCCACTGAAAAATGCCGGATTGATTTCAACGTCTAACATTTTCACTGAATGCACTCCTTAGCACCTTGAAAGAGAAAAGAGTAAGACGAATAAGCCTACCATTGGCTGTATTTCTCTCCATAACGACTGATGGCTTGAAGTATGTTCAGTTGCCAGATAAATACGATTCGCCTGGTGTTCTGACTCCGTGCTTCCCTTGATGAACGATGGCCACGAGTCTACCTGGGGCGGGGATTTGGTGGATAATAAGAAAATAAAGAGATATACATCCAGAGAGCTAGAGGAGAGTGAAAGTAAGAAAAACAAGGCCAAGTGCGGGACAAATCATCAGCTGACATAAGTTGATACAATAGAATAATAATAGCGAATAATAATATCAATACTAATACTAATACGAATCTGCAGCGGAGAAAGAATGGAAGCCGATACTTTTCTAAACTTTTATTTTTTGACCAAGTTACCAACGGTGGTGTATTCTACTGAAACAGTACTTCAAATAGTCATAACAAATTGGGGTTCCCGGCGGAGAGAAACTTGGAGTTCAGCTGGCACAGACTCTTTTTTTACTTTTTCTTGATGATCGCCATTGGGGCGAAAAGAAAAGAAAAAAATAGCTATACGAGAGGCCCAATAGCGTTTCCGTTCAAACATATTTTCGGCGACATATTTCTATTTTATAGACACTGTCGTACCTAATAGTTCTTTATGCCCAATTGTCAAACAAAAAAAAAAAAAAAAAAAAAAAGAAAAACGGCAGTAACATCGTAGACCTCAGGAGATAATTCTCTGGAGCATCCACCTTCTAATTCAGTTTATATCAACACTTACATCTCCCAGTTTCAACAAATCTGCGACAACTGCAGCTCTCTACTCTTTACAAGCCTTACTGCCCTGAGCTTTCTGCCCTTGACGTATACTACACTAAGCCCTCGAACGATGAATATCGCTTACTACTAATTCTGCTGAATGGCATCTTCCAACATATCAGCTCCTAGTTGACATATTGGCCCCAGCCGTCTTAGTGACATATAGCGTGCACATTGATATTCTCGCCCAGGTTATATCTGGTTCAAGCACTCCTTGAGTATACGGGAAGTCCCGTTCCCTATATATGATAGTCGTAAGTATTGGGTTGGTATACAATAAAGGATCATTTGCACTACTCTTTGCTCTAACTTGAAAGACTGGGAGAATAGTGGCTATACCTAGTGGTTGTCGAATCAATTTCGCATAGCCACCACTATTGCCGGCATCTCATTGTTCCGCGCCAGAAGCGACTAGCATTGGAAGCGCGAGCATCTTTCAAAGCCAGATTTTTATACACTTCAGTCGGCAACACATCAATATGAGATTTAAACCTCAGTTGCTTCACGGAGTGTATCTGTCCAGTGGACGCCAACCAATAGTATCTTGTTGCTCTGAGCTTAAACTGCCATAAGCCTCAAAGTATCCACGGTCATATAAGACGAAGACACTTATTGTCAATCTTCTCGGCTTGTCCGAATGTGGGAAGTCTCTCGGGCAGTGTCCCTGTCGGTCGGGTCGGTTGAATTCCCAAGGGTTCAACGGTTCAACCCGAGCCGTACCGAACCGACCCTGTTCGTAAACCAGACACCCTTCAGTGTCCTGGATTTCTACGTCCGGTTCGGATGATCCGTCATTTGTTTTCATTCTTAAGAGACATTGTATACGATACACCACCTAATATTCAAGTATGACAACAATCTAGTTCCGACTTGATATGGTCGGTGGTAAGTATTAGAATTAAGGGGATGGGAAGTCGACTACCAACACCGGTGTCTAGGCTGCAGAAGGTGTACCATATAATAGGAACACGGTTGATATGAACATGTGGCAGCTGTACGTATGTCTCCGTCTGGTTGTGTGGCAAATGGGCTTGAAAATAAACCATTTATGGAATCAAGTGTTCTGAGAGGTGGACAAGGCATGTATTGTTCAGTCATGGTCCTGGAGTAGCAAAGACGCCCACTTTCTCAGTGGACCTCGGATATCAGTATGGGATCTGTGGCTTTGAAAGGGTTATGGAGTTTTGTCGCTTTTTGGAGGATGAGAAGATATTGGGCGAGTATGGACGGACGAGGGTGAAAGTACCTGAGCAACTTCGTATGGCCGAATCAACTATAAGAGGTGAAACAGGTTTCTGACAAGGTGCAATTTGTATATGACTGTGTGTTTTCCAAACTCGACTAAAGGGGAGAAGATAAACAAAGAGATATGAGCGGACTGGGTTCACGCGAGCATAACTGGAATACATCATCAGCGTACAAGCACATATATGCAGAGGGGCATCTGATACTTACTTTCCCAGTTCCAGTCTTCCATAACCCTGAGCCAATGCAACTCACCTTTAATGGTGTAGTTGATAAACCCCGCCCTTGTGACAGGATCTGTACCTTTCTGAAATGCAGCTGAGTCCGGGAAATCCGATGACCTTGTACCTGACCGCGTTTCCGCAGAAGGCGGCTTCAGTCCCTCTTGACACGTAGTGCTGTCGCTCTGGGGAACACGAAGAGAATCGTAAAGCGTCGTGGTATCCATCGCGCGACGGCTTAGTATGGGAAAAGGCCGGTAAGCTTTCATCAGGTCACGTAGGCCGTGGTGTGTCTCAAATTCGTCCCTTCTTCGCCATACCTCTATTGTCATATCTCTACATCGATCTGGTACTGCGGTCATCAAGCGTCGAGACATGAGCTCCCAGCGCTGGCGAACCCACTCTCGATCATCATCGTCAAACGTCTCACAGCCTGCTATCATCAACGGAAATATTTGCGCATGTATCGTCCGAGATGATGGGGGAATAGTGGCGAGAAAGACGAGAATTTTCTGTGCTAATTTTGACATTGAACATGAGGCGGGAAGCTCCGGGACTGCTTGCCGAAGGAGCAGAAGCGCAGCGCCTCGGTATGCCTCTGCGGTCTGTATCAAGTCGGAAATATTTGAACTCGAGCTGTCCGAGTCTACAGGTGAGACCCAGCCCTCAAGAGCCATCTTTATTTCAATGGCTTTCGAGATTATCGCAGGAGAATTGCGATTCTCCTGTCGGCCGCGGACGCGACGAACAAGCTCCGCCAGGCGGCCAATTGATGGAAAGAGTGCAGTACCACAGCCCATGAGCGGGTCAATCTCCTTTTCCTCTATATAAGGTAGTATAGAATTGTATGTAGCCACAGGCTCAGTGATCGTGGCATCTGTAGGTTCGGTGCATGTCAAGCGAGAAATGACGTTCCTGTATAACCAAGTGTTGACAAGGAATTTCAGACATCCCAGCTCACTATTTACTGGTCCCGAAATAAAATTTTCCTTGACAGCACGCTGAATGAGAACTTGAGTGTCGTTGAGATGAGTGGCTCCCGTTGTTGGTGCGTGACAATCCCAGGACTCGGCGAAGGCAAGGGCGAGTCTGCTGGCAATGGCAGCCTCCAAGGGCATCGTGCTGTTGTCCATACCGATGACGAGAGCTTGAACGCTGAGATTTAAATGCTTCATGCTGAGTAGATTAAGTTGCTGTTGGGTATTGCTTATGTGTGCACAGGTCATTGCGGCTAGAGCGTGGTAAAGCGCAGGACAATCACGCGCCATAGGCCAGACAAGCCCTTGCCATGGGTCCATGCTTTCGTCTTCTCTGATAGATAGTATTTTGGACGTGTGCCCCACGAGGAAACGTCCAATCATCTCCTGGCTATCGTCTGGGAACTGTAGCTGACGGACCAGAGTATCCAATTCATTTGGATCAAAACTGTCGGATCCAAGTATATCAGCATAGAAGCCCCCGCCGGGCGGGATGTCAGGTTGCCAATGGACCTCCTCAGCATCAACTCTTTGGAATCTCTCATCTTTCTGGAAAATCTCTTCATGGCTTTGAATGGCCCTGCATAGGTCATCGTCGCTTGCTGAAGCGTCTTCAGTTGTCTTCAAGCCCAAGTCATGAAGCCCTGTCAATTCGTGGTTAGCCGGATTCACTGAAACCGCGGATGAGAAACAGTCAAGGTGGGGAGGCTCCGTAGATGTCCCGGTAGAGGAACTGTACATCCAATGCGCGATTGACTGCTCTTGTTCTAAGAGTCCAAAAGTTGAGTCACTAGCCATGTCCCCCGTACCGACCACTGTGTTGTCTGTAGCGACCGTCTCATGCAGTGCCGTTGTAGACGGGTAAAATATATTAGTTAGGGGAGACCAGAAATCTTCAAAGGCAGCCTGTGCCATAGAAGAGCTAACAGGCGCGTCGCTGTTTTCCCGGAGCGAATGATAGCATGATTTTGTCGACCGACGCTCTCTCATCTTCCGAGAACCTGTTGGGGGATTAGTGATACTTTTGGAAATAGGTAATTGACGCATTCTGTACAGTACCATCACCTGCCATGCGCTCATTGTTAATCTTTTCCACGCCTCTCCATCTGAGGAAGTTCGGATAGCCACCACAGGTAGTTCCTTGACGAGAGCATTGTTGACAGGACGGTCTTGTCTCGTCGCATTTTACCCGCCTCGCTTTACATGTTATACATCCTAAATTTACACCATCAGTCTTGGTTTAAGCATATTACCATGCAGCGGGATAAAATACCATTGCGACTCTTTGTCTGCTTTTGCCTTGGCGTCGTCTTCATTCTTAAATGCCTGTGCGCTGAGACTGATGGGTCCGCCTTTCTCAGTTGCGCCGTGGAATCAACATGGAAAAGTTGCGAATGACCTGAGCCAGGCAGAGGGAGGGGTCAATCATGTGCCACGATAAGACCTAATTCAAGACATCTTGTGAGCCGGTTCTAGCCTCATAAACAAACACTAATCCTCGAATAGCGAGGAGATTCTCTATCTTCGATTTTCATGACCTATAGTAACCACATCTAAAATGTCCAGGGTTCCCGTGCTGTACACAGATGGCCTTATCAATTGCCTCGCCCAGACTGACAGCAACCTTACTCATGATAATGTTATCTCTCCAACTCGTCTACGCTGACGGCTGTGATAAGGCACGCTTCTGTCTCCGCATGAGTGCGGGTCTTTTCCCCGCATACTTCCTCTCTCCTCATCTGGCTCGGATTTCTTAAACGGCTGGCTCGCTTACGTGCGCATGACTTGATCAGGGGAGGTTAGAGAAAAGCAAACAAGTATATTCGATCTGCTAACTAGCAGGCTCAAAATAGAAGTCTCAATACTGTAATATCTTCAAAGTGCCGTCTAAAGAACGAGGAGCGCTAATTCTCATAGTCAAACATCTCTGTCAACATGGATTTGATGTACTCCTGTTGCTCGCTGAGCCAAGCTCTGGTACCCTCAATATCAAAGCGTCCCCCCTGACGCCGACCCTTCTGAATCAGCTCAAGTTGTCGGTCGACGCGAGCCTTCAAGTTGCGCATTCTGTACTCGGCATAATCATGGTACAGCTCATCTTGGCGGCTGATACAACGAACAGTTGTAAGAACAGTGTCATCTCTCACGAATGGTGACTTGGGCCGAAAAGGTGTAATAATGGAAATGCGCTCCCCGCCGCCAAACGATTTCAGCGCCATGTGTTCGATATAGCGGCCCTGCATCACCACAGCCGTTCCCTAGAACCTTTAGCGAACTGTCGATGAGGACAGGTGAATATTTGTATCTTACCATAGTGGGCCCGCGCGTTTTCATGGTGCTTCCATCGCCCGTACGAATAACCGTCTCCCCACCGATCATGTCTCTACAATCCGACAACATAGTCACGCAAACAAAGGGAAAACTGTCCCTGTGCCATGCGAAAGCTTCGCTATCTCCATCTTCACTCATCTTCTCAAGTTCAGCTTGTGTGGGCCTCTTCTCGTTGAATGAGATGTTGCAATGGCCAATCTCGTAATCGAATGCGGGAACTAAGTCAATCCCAGCAATAGCTGAGACGGCTTCAAGAAGCTCTGGGCAATAATAGGCTTTGTGGATAAACGGCGCGAGTCTGCAAATAATGTTAACAGTGTCATACTAACAACCTGGATTGACGATGACTTACTTTGCATTATAGCCTCTAACCATGTTTGATGCGAAGCTGGAAGAAACCTGGCAGTTCTCGAGCATCACCTCGCTGAATATCTCTGCTCTCATCTGCTTGACAGCATCTTCAGTCCAGAGGCTGAATGGCTCAGAGACTGCAGTATCAGATATGCCAATACCCTCGAGCCCAATGTCTGCCATCCTCAAAATCTTCTTCGGGGGGATGATGTTTAGGTGGCGAGCGGGGTCAAATTTCTGTTTCTCAACATTCCGGGCTGACTGCACGAGTGATTCGGGTAGCTTCTTAGTGGCTGGTGTGTACTTCTTGTTGGTTGGTCCCACGACTAGATGTTTCTTGAAAGTTTGCGCGAGAGTCGTGTTGGCGACTGCAACTGCTGAGGGCATTGTGTCTCGTAGGTTCTTGAAATACTAGTGTTGAGTGAAGCTTGGAGGCTTGTGTGCTTGCAAATGAAACAATCTGACTGCTACCTGGAGTCCTCGTTATTCGACTCTGGCGACAGGTATTTATAATTGGGTCAGGAAGCGGCACTGTGTACTAACAAGTAGCAACACACCGTCGATAACATGCTGCAATGCCCATATTCTGCAATCATGGCATTTCTGAGCAGCAATGAAAATTTCTCAAAGCAGTAAATTACAGTCTCATCTGGGGACAGTACTTCATTACTTCTCACGAGATCACCTCTTGCCTTGCCCAGCCCTGAGTATAAATTCCCTAAATAGGCATTAATGGAGACAAGTGCCCTAACCAGAAGTGGTATCTATATTACCCAATCGGGAATAGCGCTTCTACCGTATACCGACCCATACATTCGAGAACCTCGTTGAATAACTGTATCAACACTTTCTTATATCTACCGTGATTATACTGGAATTTGATACACTTTACCTACCTCAAAGGACCAAAGACAGGGTCTACCATGCAGTCTGATAGTTTTTCAATCAAATATAACATCTCATAGATGTAGTGAAGGTGTAGGATGCATTACCCTCAACAAGTAGCCCTTCTTGATCCGATATCTCTTATCCTGACACATATCAAGAGTAAAAGTTTGAGTGGCATATTTTAAGAGGAGAAATTGGTTGAACTGCTATTGAGATGCTTCATTATCACCATGATTGTGAGAGAGAAATGACTTCGGAATGACAGGGCTAGGCAGATTCAGCAGTATATAAAATGGCTAGAAGTGAGAAACTCTACTATTAGAGGTATAACCAGGAAACAAAGTATTCTGTGTTGGCTCACTAAGCAATCCAATCAAGTGTAGTGTGCAAGTGGTTGTCAACAGCAAGTAACACAATATCTATACTTGGGAGCAACACGGTGTTGGCTCTCTAAGCTTCTTGACTTCTGACACATCGTTGCAATATCCCCCAAGACTTTATCTTCAGACTACTACTCAGTTTACCTTTAGATACCACATCATCTGCTTATCCATCCGCCTATGAATGATCAATTCCGGTAGACCATACGCAGCTAACTCTCTAAGCTTCGTTACTACTCATACTTCTTTACCATCTCTCATAAATAACTTCATTTCTCGCTGCTGCATCAATCTACCCTCAGAAACCCCACATTCCTCTCGCCCACCCGCTCATAAGCCTTCGCTGAAATGCCTCCACAAGTTCGTCCCCTTAGTGATGGTAGCGTCAAGCCATCCTTCCTTTGGTGCATGCATTGCCAAAGACTCTGCGCCGGAAGGTATAAGAGGGAAGCCGATCGTCCATTCGAAATAAATTGTTACTTTAATAGTAAAGGATTCATCCGTTGTCACCAATGCTCGCACGACAACACAGCATGCGATTCAATATGTTTCCCTAACCTTCTTCTAATAATACTATACTAACCAAAGTAGGTGGCACCGGGTATGCTAGGAAATGGATGGGACTACTCCCAAATTCTTGAATGGGCTACTCGCTTTTGGGACACGCGTGAGCGAAACGAGGATGAGTACAAGTGGCCAGAGAACATTCGCGCAAGTGTCGTCAGTGCTCTGAGTGAACTCAACAGCGCGTTCAGCAAGACTGAGGAGATTCATCGGGATGAACATGCCTTGACAGACGACGATGATGTACGTTTGCGGTGCACGTTGCCTTTATGATTTCTCTAACACTTCGGCAGGATGCTATGGCGACGTACCGCACTTTTGTCGAAAAGCGCCGCCAGCTGCTCGTCCAGGACCCTATTCCCGGTGAATATGCTTGTGAGTATGATTGGGATTGTTATCAGTCGTCGCGGCTCTTGCGTCTCTTACCTGGGGACCCTGGGTATGTGCTATGGATGGTGGCACTGAGGGTTTTTAGGGGGGCAGTTGAAGATGCTATCACCAGTTGCGCTGTCCTCCATGGCTCAGGACGCTGGATGGTAAATGAAGAATTGGAGTCGTTCCCGGTGGAGTGCGAGAAGATTTGAGGACAGTGTAGTCACTTCATAGCGAGGTGGGCAATACATGCCAGTGGCCGGTTTATTGGTTGTACTATTTGGTGGTTCCAAAGAGAATGGCCATATCATTGAAGACTGACGTTTATCCCTGCATATATTAGGGTGAGAAATTCTAGCAGGAGAATGTTCATCAGAATTTGACAACCAAACTAAACCGTAATTTCCACAGTATCTGTGTATAACTAGGGTTATTTCTCTAATCAGGAGTATACAAATGCCCCTTGTTAGTGATAAAATGAATCAATGGGGAAGTTCATGTGTACAAAAACCGTCGATCTTGCATGAGATAGTTTTTTTCATTAAGGTCCTCTATTTACTTTCCGTCTTTAGAAGCTGGGGATGGTATAGTTTATAGTACAATGTTGTATAATACATATAGCTAAATTTTGCGGATCTCACCGCCATTCTCCTACTCGCTCAAATCTCTTAACCATGCGTGTAGCTTCCATAATAACAAGCATGCGGGATAGGTCGACGGAAGTAATCTTAGCTTCCACAACGCTCAGGATATCCACATCAGACATTTCAGGAGGCGTGACAATTTGACACCGTACTCCTAGGGAGGTTATGACACCTGAATAACCTTGTGCGAACTGTGATCCGACCAGGGCAGTAGCGTTGTACGGTCTATGAACCAGGCAAGTGAAGGTTTCCGGTAGGCGGCATTCGCCGAAATAGAACGCACGGAACAGGAGCATACATGCCCAAAATTGTTTCGACGCCGAGTCGATATCCCTTATACGACTACGCTTCCAACGAGATTGCGAGATGAAGTTGTCTACATCCAGCCGGGAAAACGGGAGGACGGACTCATCGGTGGTAGCGTCAAACCGGCGACCATGCTCACGCTCGAAGCGCAGTGCAGCCTCGATCTGATAATGGGCCATGACATCGGTATATCGTCGCAAAGGACTCGTAGACTTCACATAGGCATCGAGTCCCAGGGGCGCGTGATGAGTGGGGCTGGATGAAGAGATGCCTTTTGGAGCCGCCAACTGCAGCCATGCCTTCCCCCCATAGTCCGTCATGTTGCTGTTGGTCAACTTCGGGTATTCGGGATGGTAGAACGTTCCATCGAACACGGCGGGGATGTTGCGTTCAGCCAACCATTTGCCGGAAACGTAACATGCTAAATTCATCAAGGTCGAAATAAGATTGCGTTTCGTTAAATCAGGCACCTCATGCGGATCAACGCTTCGTGGACGGAGTTGAATAATAGGGTCCCCGAGCATATACCGGCCCTCTGTCAATTGCATGTGGTATGGCTTCAATGGTGCGTTGCCAGCAGTGACTGAAACAGGGGTATCCAGGGACGATGGCCACTCCATTGCACCATTCCTTCGTCGGTGTTCCCGGAACGCGAGCATCAACTTTCTCAGAGTGTGGAAGGTCTCTTCATCCTCTGAAGATAACTTTTCTCGTAGATTGTTGCGAGTATGTTCGCTGGAGTACTCCCCTCCTACCGTCAACGGTTCCAGAACCTCCTGTGGTTCGGGCTCGAATAGGCTGCGTAGTTTATCATGCGTGATGTAGATAACATTTCTAACTATGCCATTGGCAATTTCAGTATCCAATATGTCGCCCTGTAGGTTCATCTTGGCACTGAATGTCAATGTCGGGCGTCCAGGCGCCAAACTGAAGTGCTCTTGCGTTAACGTGTTAGGTAGCATAGGATATGTTCGCTCCGGAGTATAAACGGTCTGAACACGAGAGGCCGCATATTCCATGATCAATTCATGAGGGTTAACAAATGCAGTTGGATTAGCGACATGAACACGGATCCAGAAAGTGTCATCTGACCCCGGTATGCGCTCCAGAGAAACACCGTCATCAATCTCCTGTGCACCAGGGTCATCTACACAGTAAACCGGTAGGTCGCCGAAGTCTGTCCGCATACTCTCCATCTTGTCTGTGATACCCTGAGAGTTTAATTCCTCACAGGCCCGTTGTACATCCTCCCACATTTTGTCTGACTGGAGGGATACACCATGTCCCGGAAGTGCCAAATTTTGATCCAGTAATCGCAAATTCTCCCATGGGGCCACAACTCCCAACTCTTGCAAGAATAGAGCAGCCGTACCTGCATTCGTGTCCAGAGCACTATACATTCCTGTGGCACGCATAATGTGCGACCCAGCCGAGCGAAGAATTCCAGATGTCATCCGTCGGGGAGGAATACACCAGAGCTGAAGATATTCGATGATCATACGATCAGTGTAACTAAATTTCTCCGTCAAGACCTCACGATAAACCAAAGGCTTCCCATCTTGTCCAGGCTGATATCGTTGCGCTGTTGGACCGACAGAAGCTAGTATTGTTGGAGACCTAACTTTTCGACTGAGCCTTATAAGACGCTGGGCTTTCTGGATGAATTGCTGGATGGGGTGGTCTTTCAGATTAGGCACCTCGTTTCCTGTGACGGCGCAGATAAGGTACTCTTGGTGTTCATGCACCCATGTGATGATTGTGTCGAGTATATGGGCGACTCGCCTCGGTTGAACGAAATAGTGGTCGGTGAAGATGGAGCTCCGATCATTCTCGATGAGAAAGGAATTTCGACGAATGGCCCGATGTACGGCAAACAAGATCTTATCGTCCACTTGGTCACTTGTGATATCGAGCGCTTTACAAGCCAGATTTTGGAGTGTAAACTCTAGTTTCTCTTCCTCGTCCGCCACGATTTCATGTATATTGTCCAGCCGATAAGCATTCGCTTGGTAGAACTGATGAACCTGTTCGTTGAAATCATTGATCATCCGCAAAATAGGCGCACCAGTCGGCCTCGGTACCCCTCCTTCTATAGCTGATTGCATTTCCAAGCTGAGCTGCGCGAGAGCGTCCGGGAAATGGGGTAGCAAGGGGGCCACCAGTCTCGCGGGACGAACCCCTTTATCACGAAGTCTAGATCCTTTGCAAAAGCTATGCGCCATTTTCCTCGATCAGTGTAGAATTGCTGCTGCTTACAGACCGACCGAACGTAAACGGCAAGATTCAGGATACCTTCGGCACTTTCAGGAACCACAGTCAGTACGTTTGAGACAGCCGCTGACAATGAGGGGCAGCATACGAGGACAGTGCCACTAGATCTCCCGGCTCCAAAAAGTCATGCACTCCTTCCCCTTCTTCGGCAATGTTTTCAAAGTCCGAAACATCTTCGTCGGTCTCCCGCAGGCATCGCTACCTGCATCATGCGCTTCTCGGTAGTCGTTTAGCATGTTTCCAACCCAAGGCGCCGAAGCATCTAATGTATTCGATGTCCCGGGCCCTCGGACAGGATCTAAAGGGTTCGGATGACTCTCCTGCCATTTTCGCAAATATTCCCGGATATCTTTATTCTCCTCGAACTCGGATTTAAGACGGGTGTCTTCGATGGAAGTGGAAGATCTTAGGAGGTCTTGCGGGGGGCTCTAAAGCTGGTCAGGGAAGTCACGACTGCAACCAATATTGAGTATTCCACACCTTTACTTCACTATAATATCTGCCCGACCCGTCGCGGCGTAATGGAAACCGATTGCGTTGAGTGAGCGAACGAAAGTGAGAAACAACTCCGGAGATCGAGGTCGCTGAACGGTTCCGGCTGATTATATTCACTTCAGCCACGCTCCGTGATACTCGACTCCTCAGTAGAGTTAAAGACATCATGGAGCATTATAATGCCCAAGTCCACAGTAGAACCCTTCAATCAAGACTGAAGAGACGTAGCAAACAACATTGTCGAAGCAGTTCCAGCGCCGCAAAGCCTGCTGGATAGCCCCGGCAGAATATCCTCCACCGCCAGGGCGGTGAGTCCCAAAACATATCCGTGGTTAGTTCCTAGTTCGGTTTAGCGTTTGGAACTTATGAATAGCCTATTTACTCGTCTTTCGGTACCGAGTACGCTCTACTGCGTACTCCATACTGTGCATATCCTCTTTCATTGAACCGCCTGGTCTTCTACTTGCTTGAGCTCCGTGGCTGGCCAGCACTTCTATCTCAGTACTTTTATCTGAAGGTGCAAAATTACGAGATACCAAGCAATTAGTCACTCATGTTTAATGAGAGTCTCGACCAGCAAACGGACTGTTTCTAAATCAGTCTCTGTTGCGGGTCCTGATTTGTCGGCAATTCTATCCACAACCCTTGTCGATGGAGCTTTATGCAGCTTGGCTTCACAGGGATAGGAATTGGCAGATGCCTAGAGTCCTGGACTCAATCCCTTTCCGGCAAATCATCTGCTGACGGAGATTTCTTTGCCGATACCCGCCGTGATATAGCCGTGGCGGTCTAATCGCACCGCAATGCTGTCAAAAAGGGCCATGAATTGCTGACACTTTCTTCTGTTCGCCTTGTTTACTGCTTTGGGATGATAAGCATAGCTCAAGTGCACTGTGGATTTGCCACACCCAAACTACGGATACTTGCTTGGCAGTCTACCGGCTCCTCGGTCTCTGGATAGACCCTAAACTCGGTTCTCCGCTGTCTCCACGTCTGCACACAAAAGAAATGTATGGTTGCAGTGCAAATCCTCGGCTGCCTTGCGTTTATAGAAGACGGTGTCTATCGTCTTTACATGTGAAAGGTGATAGTCGAGGTGTTGGCCATTCGGGTTCCTTTCGGCAATTGCCAAGCATTCGACTCTCCTCATCGAGTGTCGATCAGGCGAAACCATGCAATATATCCATGAATTAAATCCTTTAACCTTATACTCTAGTCTAAGTCTCCTAGGGCCTGTTCATCATTTCCTGAATTGTACAACCGAGTCAGGTCAAAGCCTCATCTGTCAACGTCCCAATAATCGCGCTGACACCAGTCGTGCATGGGGTATTTCCCCGCATAATGTTAAAAGAATAACTTCGCAAATGCCGTGCTATTCAGAATCGCTTAAGTGATCTGAGTTGTGCTATGCATTTAGCGTGATGACTTTCCAAAAAAACATTCCTCAAGGGTTCATTCTTGTGGAGAACGATATGCGCTGAGAATGAAATACTCCGTGCCCCTGATCCATACGATGTTTGTTTGCTACTGCCAACGTCAGCATTAAGACCTCGGATATTAGGTACGTCTTTCCCCTGGCTTAGTCCCTTAATAAGGATTTTATTGACTACCATTCCCTCCAGTTTCCATCAAACTCCTGAAACTCAACGAATAACCTGGTCTGAGGCACCCGGTGTGGATACACGGGTTTGGGGATGACTACCAAATTATTACAAAGGCTTTTCTAGGAACTTTTCCATTAGCAATATACAGCGCCAGTTCCGGGCTGTGTACTAGTAAACTAACCGTTGATCTCCGGTTCGATCGGAGGTCCACTTCACTACCATGGAACCTATACTAACTTGGCACGGACAACCATCGAGGATAATATTCCTATTAGGAAACGCATAGACCCTCTTCTTCCGGCTACAATTCTGCTCATATGCTAGGTTTTGGCAACTCAGACGCCCATAGCCGACGTCGTTTTCGGATTTTGAGCCCATGCCATAGGCCGCACGGGGATCAGCAGAGGGACCTGGTCTCGGGGCAATGGAGCCATTCTCCAGAAGCCAGGTCTTCCTTTACCTAAGTCCCAGAACCAGTTTTCGACACGGCTCCACTGCTGTTGGTAGTGTGATTGTGACGGTGGAGCCATTGAACCCTGAAGAAGGCTATCATTGCCAGGCGATACTATTCCCTCTGGTAGTTCGAAGACCCCTTTCCGGTCCCTGCCCAATTGCCATAGCACATACATATATAGCGCTTTTCCCGTACGCATTTTAGTGACTATAGTATCATAAATTAAATCCGTGACCTACATAATCCACTTATTCCATCTTCCCTGCTCCATTATCATCTACATTGACCACCATGAAAACCGGCCAAACATGGCGAACAGCCATAGTGGCTTCCCTGGCTGCTTTTGGTTCTTTCGCAACAGCAGCAGACATATGCTCCAAGCTCGATCAGCAAGGAATAACAATCGAAAATCGTCTGACCTTCTCGTTCCTCAAAGTTCTGAAGGACTACTGGTCCACCGCGTGCGGCGATCTTCGCCCAACATGTATCGCCTCCCCCAAGAGCGCTCTTGAGATGTCTCAGATCGTCAAGGAGCTCCATGATGTTGATACCTTGTTTGCGGTCAAGTCCGGTGGGCATATGCCCAACAATGGCTTCGCCAGCATTCAGGACGGACTCCTCATCTCTACCCAAAACCTTAACAACGTCATATATAATGCCGAGGATCAGACCGCTATCATCGGACCAGGGCTTTCTTGGGAAGATGCACAGAAGGGCCTGGATGGAACTGGTCGGACCCTTGTTGGTGGTCGCCTTGGGGGTGTGGGTGTGGGTGGATATATGCTTGGAGGTACAGTACCCTCTGTTTCCGCCCAAGTAACTTAACCGCTGGCTAACTTCTTCTGTACTCTAGGTGGCCTGAGCTTCTTGAGTTCTCAGTATGGCTGGGCAGCGAATAACGTTATTAACTTCGAGGTCGTTCTTGCCAACGGCACCATTGTGAACGCAAACGAGAAGGAAAACACCGGTAGGCAAATATCCATAACGAGTTGGGACCAGAGGCAAAGAGTGACAGTGGAACAATAGACCTCTTCGCAGCTCTCAAGGGAGGTGGAAACAACTTCGGCATTGTCACGGCTTATACCCTCCAGACACATCCAATGGACCATAAGGTTAGTCACGTCGTGTCAAGAAAAAGCGTTTCATGTTTATCTAACCATGACAGGTCTGGGGAGGCAACTACGTTTTCAGTGCGGACAAGACGCCTCAAGTTCTCGAAGCCATCCGTGACTTCACCGAAAACTACCCTGATGACAAGGCCGCCATCATCGTGACGGCCGAGCATGCCGCCCTTATCAACACATGGATCATGTTCCTCTTCTACGACGGGCCGGAGCCTCCGCAGGGTGTGTTCGATCGATTCAAGGCCATCGGGCCATTGGACACGACCAAGACGTGGGATAGCTACTACGATTTGGTTCGCACCCTACTTCTAACCAGACTACCCAGCAAGCTAACGTGTGGCCACAGCTCAAACACAACGACTTATTCATCTTGAAGTAAGGCAGCCTATCAACATATATTTGTAAGAATATTGTACTAATTAAAGCAGGGGCCAACGGTATACCATCGCAACGGAAACAACACCAGTCCCCAACAAAACAGTCAGCGCAGAGGTCATGCAAACGTACTACGACCATTGGTTTAACATCACAAATACGGTCCTGGGCGTCCCAAATATGATTGGCTCCATCGCATTCCAGCCGATGCCCAGAACGATCGCGCAAAAAGCTCAGGCCCGTGGCGGAGTAAGTTCTGTAACTTCCTAAGCCCTAGCCACAGCGGCTAATCTCACATATCATGCCATTAGGACCTGATCAACTTTCCCACTGACCAGGATTACATTGTTATCGAATTGGACTTCTCCTATGCCTTCTCGGCAAGTGACGAGAAGATCGACGCCGCGAACAAAAACCTGTTCAATGGGTTCGGTAGGATTATTTCGAATTACATTGACGAAGGGGTGCTACCAGACGTTTACAGGCCGTTGTTCATGAACGACGCGAACTACGCGCAAGACTACTGGGGCCGTCTAGGCTCGACTGAGCAGGCGCGCGAGACAAGAAAGAAGTATGATCCCGAGTTATTCTTCCAAAAGCGGACGAGTGGAGGGTTCAGACTTGGATGAGTATGACACGATGCTGCAGATATCCATACCTTTGAGACTATCTATATACACATTATGCATATACCACTCCTATCAATACCACCCTCAATACTATTTCCAATAGTGATTCCAATCTCCTCAGTCCACATCTAGCCCAACCATCAGCTAACCCTCCAATCAAACCCCAACCCCAAAATAACATCCACCAAGCCCAATCCACAACAAACCAAGTAAAAACAACCCAATAAAACCATCCCAAACCAAACTCTCCTCCAAATCCTCCCCGTCTCAAGTCCAAATAAGCTCACGCCACCAATTGGCCCAGAGCTTTCCCCGGGAAGCCACCCTAAGCGCCGACGCGGATCTCTCGCCCCCAAGCACCCACCACACCCAATCCGGTGTCCCATTTCTATTTCTGGTGCCGCCCTGCAGATATGGATATATGCGCTGGGGTCGAGGCTCAACTTCCTTCCCTGTTTGAGCTCGGACGGGGGTCTAGACTTTCTTCCTGGGACTTTGGTCATTGAGGGTGTGATTTGTCGGTAGGCGCTGGGGATCGGCGGCTGGCGGGTGAGCTTTGATCGTGTGGGTTGAGTCTAGATCTTGGGTTTTTGAGTGTATTCTATATTTGCTTTCGTCATGTTGGGATTTGGGGACTCGGTTTGGTATATAAAGGTGTGGGTTGGTCTGGTGAGATGGGAGATACTCTCGGTCAGATCATCGCATTTTCTACTTAATATTCAGTCACACGTTCCTTTGAGATTTCTTTATTGTCTCCTTGTTGTGAATCACGTTCTTTGTCTTGACATATACATAATAGCGCTCCTTCAACTGTTTCCGCTCGTGTTCTGTTGTGAACAGATCCCGTTATACAGTCATTACATCCTGTCTTGATTGGCAGATATACGCAACCATCCAACATGCCTAAATACGGAGCCCTTGGCGCGACTTTCATGATCGCCCGGATCATCCAGGTCTGCTGTCTTATTGCCATCATCGGATTGACGGCCAACTTCATCGCAGAGATTGTGAACAGTGACCTCACTCCTCCTAGTGTCTTTATTGGCACAATCACAGTGGTATGACCCCAGTCCTAATCCCAATCATACCCTCATTTGAAACAGAGCTCCCAGCCAACAGAGGTTAACTTAAGTTAGACCTGCATCGCAGTAATCTACTGTATAATCACAGCGATTCTTTTCTTCGATAATATTCTCCCCTTCTTGGCTTCAGCCATCGCAGACTTCCTCCTCCTCATCGCTGTCATCGTCGTGGCTGTCATAATCGGAAAGCCACTATCGTATTTGCAATGTGATAAAATTGCCGAGGTCACCGACAAAATTTCCAGCGCGTATGCCTTTGCCACGAAATTGAGCAGCTACCTATCCCACCTGAACGGAAAGTTGCAGTACGTGACTTTGATTGGTGCGAGCAAGGGGGTTTGCTTGGAGGCGAAGAGTATCTGGGGATTGAGTATTGCTTTGTGGTATGTCCTTTTTCCTCCAGTGTCGTTTCTTTGAGGTTTTCTGTGGACTGGATCTAGTGCTAACGGCAGGCTAGCATCATGTTCTTTTTCTCCGTGATCTGTTGCATCTGTCTCTGGAAGCAGAAGAAGGCGAGTGGGACTGAAAAGCTGGACGGCTGAAACGGTTTGCCATGAATAATGTGTATCGGTTATGGGGAATTGATGAAGTAATGTGGTCGGTGGGTATTGTCGAAGCGTTGCCTTGTGACGTAATGCCTTTCTCCTTTGTGATTTCCGTTTTGTCTGTTGTATATTGATCCTGTTTGCCTTAATACTCTCCATTCCCTGAGATTCTCTGTCTGTCTGTCTGTCTGTATCCTCCTTTCATTTGTTCTTCAGATTCTGCTTCATGACTTTCATTCATTGTACGTAACCCTAAATAATTCAATCAGCCAAATCCAACCCCAAGTCCAAACACCAACTCACTAATCTGAAACCATACACAACCTCCTACTCCAACACTTCCCTCCTCGTCCCTTCTCCGTAAATAAAAAAGATGAATCAATCACCCCGAACTAACAGGCGGAATAACAGCAACCTCATTCCCCGCCTCAATCACCACTCCCTCACAATCCGTGACATCCACATACTCCTCTCCCAGACTCACTCCACAGCTACTCAATATCTTCTCTTGTATGCCTGGGTACTTGGACTCTAGGACATCGGAGAGCTGGTTGAGGGGTAGTGGTGCGGGGAGAGATTCGGTCTGTTTGCCGGTGTAGGTGGTTGCGGAGGAGAAGTAGTGGATTTGGAAGGTTGGAGTTGTCATTTTTGTTTCTGAATTTCTTTCCGTGATCTTTTTTTCGTTTTGGTTGTGGGGATAAGTAGAATGTTACTTTGTAGATGAAGAAGTCGGAGCAGGAATGAGTGGAAGTTCACGAGAGGGGCCAAGGCTAGACCCGAACCATCCATGTATTTACTTTTACTTTATATATAAATGCGGGGCTGATGTTGATATCATCGCTTATCAGCTACGTGATTATCTCCGATACACTATGTTCTGCAGGAAATTAAACGGAATCAGACGTGTCGATCTGACCATGTCCATTGACGTAGCAAATTATATGTCCATATCATGTCGTGAATCAGATTTTACTCACTCAACGCCCGGAATGCGCCTACCAAATCCCTCCGGAGGTCTTCCCAATTCTCTAATCCTACACTGATCCGCAACAACCGGCGATCCACCGTCGCATCACTCATCGTTCGCCACTCAATTAAGGTCTCCACGCCTCCGAGACTGGTGGCATGCTGGAAGAAGGCGAGCTTACTGGGGAGCTTACGCGCATAGTCCTCGGTTTTCATGCTAATCGAAAACACCGGTCCGAACCCGTTCGGCATCTGTTTGAGCAACCACGACTCATCCTCTTTCTGCAGGCTGGCGTGGAATACCTGCTGCAGAGCAGCCTGGGTCACAGCCTCGTCGCTGCCAGGGGTTGGGTTTTGCGCCTGCAGCGCGTTGTTCAACCAGGTGACCAGGTTCGTAGCATTCTGGCTCTGTCGCTGCACGCGAACCTCCAGTGTCCGCAAACTGCGCGTACCCAGCCAGCTCTCCATATTGCCCATTACACTACCCAAAAACATCCGATCCTCGAACAGCCGCCGGGCCCAATCACTCCGCTGTGTGGCGAGAACACCACAAAGGAGGTCGCTGTGTCCACCGAAGTATTTGGTACCAGAATGCATGACCAAGTCTGCACCCCATTGGAACGGGTCCTGCAGACCCGGCGGAGCAAAGGTGCTATCCACAATAAGATACGCCCCGCGCGAGTGGGCCTTCTTGGCGTATTCTTCGATGTTGAAAGCGGTGCCTTCGGGGTTGACCGGGGTCTCCAGAAGGATAGCATCTCCCGACTCTAATTGCTCAGCGGGGCAATCGAGGTCCAGCTTTTGAAGACCGGTGAGACGGCCGAACAGCTTAATAACACCGTGGCATCCATGGTATCCGTTTCCAACTGCGATTCGGCGAGGATTCAGGAGGACGAGTGCTGCATGCAAGGCCGATAGACCGGACGAGTAACTGATCGCCTCACCATGGAGAAGTGAAGACAGGAGGGCTTCAAATCGGTTCAAATTAGGTGACGTCAGACGAGAATAAATATGCTTGGTCTTTTCCTGATCATACTAAAGCGAAGCAATCAGACCGGCTCAACGAATTGCATAGAGTGGCTGAGAATCAAAGGAACATACACCACTGAGATCTGCGGCTGGCACGAGGTCCTCAGGATCATCAGGGTACCGGAACGTAGTGGAAAGGTGTAGCGGAGGGGCTACATCGGTGACCACGTTCAGCGCCTCATCTGCATGCAAGGCATGCGTAGCAGCAGCAATGTTGTCATTGGTTGAATTTGGAGCCATTGTACAGTATGGGACCTGAGAATGGCTAGGAAAGAGGGGAGAACAAGGGTCGCGGGCTGGAACAGCGGATTCAACGCCAGGTTCTTGAAAGAAGTGGGGGAAAGACCGGAAGAGAGGGGTGACACGTGACACGTGGGTCCGCCGTTCAATTGCGTAATATTCATATCATGGTATATACAAGTCATCAATGGTGGCCACATAGATACAGTGTCATTTGGTAGACGCGGGTTTACCGCCGAAGAGAACTCATTCGAGATGCTTCCCGAGACGATCCTGGAAGAGCAGCATGCAGATTGGCTCGGTCTAGATCGGAAAGTGTTAGCGCAGCCTACCATTCCGCCGGGGGGGAACAAAACATACCAGCTTCAGAATCGAAGCCAATCGAAATATCATCATTCTCGCTAGGGAAATCGGGCATGTCCAAGCAGATGAAACTAGACATGGGATCATCGCCGGTTTTTGGTAGCGCAAACTTGGCATCACACAGCTTAATGCAAAACTTGCCCGAGCGGGTGAAGTTTTCGTATACATCGGTGCCTTTGAGTACAAAGTTCATGCACTTTCCATGGTGGAAGTCATTCAAGAACGCTATCAATTGTATAACCTTGTCATGTTGAACCACTTGAATCCGGGCTCTAGTTGATTCCCACTTCTTCGTGATTGGGACCACCATGCGGCGTCGTGATATCGTGAACGAAGTAGCAATACTGTCTCCGTTAGTCTTTGGTGAGACCTGCGCAAAAA